AAGAAACCGGAATTAGTTTGCAGTTCACATCTCGTCATTATCTTAGCGGAGTTCGTAGCTACCAAATCCGAATCAGTTCGCATTTATCTAAACGGACACGTCGAACGGAGCGGAAAGACAGCCGTCCCCCAAGGCCACAAGCGCTTTCTCGCAAACGGATGTCGATATTGCAAGGCCTGTCACGAATTTGCTCTCATCCATCCCTTTACGAAAACGTCTTCTCCAAGAATAAGCCACGGTTTCGGCGCGTTGCCATTGTTCCTCGTCCGAAGTGGAAAGTTTCCACCTCTTCGTCCAAGCGCCAGAGTACCTTTCTCGAAGATCGGATGAGTGACCTGTAGGCACCCACCACTGTATACGTAAACAACCGAAATGCGGTGAGGAACGGTCGTCCACAACCTTAGACTGTGCTCTGCCAACCCAGAACAACACACCTTGAGACAGTTCCTCATCAGGGGGCCTAACAATCAGAAAATCACCTTGGTTTATATGGCGCCGAGGGTCGAAGTCCACTTTTGGACGGCCCGCCCTCGGTCTTACATATATAAGCGAAGCATCTGGCGAAGGAGGGTTGGCTTCTTGAACTTCCTCCACAGTTTCGAATGATTGTGGCCAGAAGGTGTGAGGGTAGATCTCCGGCTTGTCCGCCCCGAGGACATCCTCTTCTTCACCCTCTTCCGTCTCCTTCTTCTTTTGCTTTTGGATTATGTCGTCCACCTCGACGAAGATGGCTTTCCAGTAGGACAAAGCATCCTCCCGCTTCTCGACCTCCTCCTTCCTATATGTCTGCCACATGTGTCTATGCTGTTCGAGGACGTCCACAAATTTTTGGACACTGTCACGAGCCATCCGAAAATCGTCTTTAACGACACGGGGAATAACACATGGTTGTGAAGGGGAGGTAGGGCCTACATACTGGCCATCGACAACCGGGAACCAGTGAACTGGTCTGCCTTCCGACATCCATTCCGCATCGGTACAGTACTTCTTGTACACCATGACGGGACTGCCGTCACGCATGAAGAATTTGAAGATGTGCGGTTTCGATACGCCGACGATGGTTCTATCGACGTATCGACCCACTACCTGACGCCAATCGGCAATGTGATCGAGCTCAATGCACTTCGGCGGTATCTTGTGCGACGATTCGATAAGCGAGAACAACTGCTTCATGGTGTAAGCATCGTTGTCCTTCAGTTTTTTCGAGAAAACACTCAAAGTCGCGTCTATGTCGGTATGCGTGTGGCCAACGAGCATGAACCCCACTTCGACATCTTCGAAAATCCCGAATTTCACCAGAAGGGAGGTCAAACACATAAGGTATTGGTTTTTGTTTTCCCTCCAGCAATTGTCCGTCTCAATGCGGAGGTGGCGTGGCCATTTCTGTCCCGACGCGTGCAACTCACATAGAGTCCACATAACGCACGTCATGGTGTCATCGGAACCGTGCGCATACAAAGGCAAATACGTGTACACATAAATGGACTGTTTCCTGCCGTGAGCTATGACCGCGGTCAGATTCGTTTTCATCATCATGTCGCGTCGATGATCCTTGGAGTAATTATACATGCCGATGTGAGGAATGGTTGTCTTTTTCTGATCCATTCCATCCACTACAAGGCAGAGGTATTCCGCGGGGTTCAAAATGGAACGAAGCACGGTGAGCGACCTGATCTAGTTGGTGTTTGCGGTGCTTTTCATCGAAATCCCTACTGTCACGAAGGAGGAAGGCGTTGTCTCTGGCCTGTCTAAGGCGGATGCACTCGCCACACTTTGTGAACGAGTTGGACTTGGCAAGGTCGGCATGCCACAAGTACTTCCTCCATATGGAGTAGAAGACTTGCTCTGAAACGACGGTCTGACCCGCCGCTTCCAAGTCCGCCTTAATAGACTCGTATACAAGGAGCTTCGTGAAATAACCAGGGAGCCTAACTTTGGGTCGTTGTGAGGTCCCCCTCACAACCATTTTGTTAGGCATAGCATCTCCATATTCTTCCACGAACCTTGTCACACGAGCCAGCATGCTCACATACTCCGGTCTCGGGTTCAACTATCCCCATCGACCATGACGGCCACGGACGACCCCGTCCGACTTGCACTTGCTATAACGACGAAATGTGTTTCGACATATCCCTATTATTTTGCACCAACCGGTGATGCACACACGACATTTGCACTGCACTGGTTGGACTCTTTCCAGACCGCCGTCGATGATAGTGAAATTGTCGAGGGTTTGCATCCACCACTCGATCCTCCTTTCGAGGGACATTTCGTAATAGGCTTCGCGCATCGGTTTGATATCGTCAATCGTCAAGACCCGAAGACACTTGTTCTTACAACATTTGTACGTCGGGACGAGCGCAATGTTAGTTTCATTCAATCGACTTCTGGCCCTCTTCGAATGCTCTGACCTTCTAACCGGCCTATTTTTCCGATTATATCTTCTCCTTTCTCCAGGTAGGGGATGGGACAAAACTTGAAGGACTGCTTCAGGAGTTCCAGGTTGGCTTTTGGTCGGGGACCCATGCGCTGCACCTAGGAATTTCGATCTGTCCGTGGGAGCGTTTCTGGGCAAATCAGATTGGGAGGATTCCGATGAACTGTAGAAATCTGTGTCTACAAAACCAGTCTGCCAATTTTCCATTGCAACCGTCGCTGTCATCGACGGAGAGCTAACTATTCCGGCTTCACATGCAATTCTTTTACCTATCTTCGCACTTCCACACGCACGTACCATTGCCTGGTCCCTATCATACCCGTTTCTACCAAATGCACCGCACTGTTCCCGATCAGATCCGTTTCTATCGGGCGTACCGCAGAAGTTTGTGTCCACCAACGACCGACGATAGTCAAATGCTAGAGGTTGGGTAACTTCAATGCTTTCTGACAGTCTACCCGCTGTCCGCACGAGATCTGATCCAGTCGTTTCGGACACACCACAAAAAAATATGTGTCCACGAACATCCACCCACCGGGAAACGTTTCGACATCCCGAACACCCTCACGACCGGGGATTAGCGCTGTAGATATGCGCTGACCGTCGGGAACGTCGGTAAAGCGAACAAAACGACGCCGGGCGGACGTCGAAGACGAGCCTGAATGATTCGTCGGGGTCAACATCGAGAACTTCCTTTTCAAACCGCAATGCTGATCAGAGGGAGCTTACGGGCTGTTGTCACAAGAACTACGTTCTCGAACATCGTCTTCTCCGTGTCGTCGTGACGGTGGCGGTTGCGTGACAGTGGACGGATTGGACAGCCATTTGAAGAGACGATTCACACGGAAACTGTACAACAAGAAAACCACGTCAACGTATGACGAGGTCAAGGAAATAAACAAGAGGGAGCAAACTCACATTTCAAATATTTATCACAAAACAGTGGAACAACAACATTTGAATCCATATCGTTTTGTCGGACCCTGATGTGAGGCTCAAGTGGAATCTCAAGTCCGACTCCTCACCCACTTGTTCAGTGTGCAAGTGGTTTGGATATGTCCAAGTGAACTCGCACTTTTTCAGGCGAGAGTACGAATGCGAGCTGATTCGGACTTATTCAACGTACAGTAAGAAATTAAGTTCATGGTCGGAACAAGACCGAACACAAGTGCGAGTCGATTCGGTATTATCCACTAAGCAGCGTAAAATTCGCACTTCAGATGAACATTTCGATTACGCCGTATAATAAGAAATTGCCTTCGTGGTTGGTTCAGTGGCGATTTAATTCACAAATACAAAAGGACTTCATTCTTTTGGGCCGAGAAGAGACGCAAATTATCGACTAAAGAGGAACAAATTTAAGGGGATGGATGGTTGAAGAGTGAATAAATTCACACTTGCAAACGAGCATTTCCATTATGAAACTGGGGCTTATGGACTAAAGAGTCACAAATTTGGGGGGATAGTTGGTTGAAGAGCGAATAAATTCGCACTTGCAGACGAACATTTCCACTATGAAATTGAGACTTTTGGACTATAGAGTAAGAAATTAAGGGGGATGGTTGATTGAAGAGCGAATAAATTCGCACTTGCAAACGGGCATTTTCATTACGAAACTGTGGGTACAAGTGCGAGTTAATATTGACCTATGGACTAAAAAGTGACAACTTAAGGGGGTGGTTGGTTCAAGAGCGAATAAATTTGCACTTGTAAACGAGCATTTCCATTACGAAACTGCGGGTACAAGTACAAGTTGTTTCCGACTTGTTCTGCGTGTAGTACGAGCCACATATCGTCGCAAGAGAGAAATAGGGAAAGATGACGTGCTATTTTTTAAGATGGAGAAAGATTGCGAAGCGATGGGCAGACGACGCATCGATGAAAATACATGGAGAGAGATGGCGCACCGAATGAGAGAGATGGCGCACCAAGAGAGATGAATGGAGTCACAGTCTTCCCCTGAATACAACGTCTGGTCATTACAACTAAATTCGGGTCATCTTTCAGTCTAAAGACAACTATAATGAAAGTGCGTTGTATATTCCGGGGAAGAAGGTGGATGGGGCAGGAAGGGAAAGAGATCGCGATCTGATTGGGAGGTGTGCCACAATGAGAGAGAGAGATTGCGCACCGATGGAGAAACATGGCGAAGCAATGGAGATAGCAGGCGTAGCGATGGTTAGCGATAGCACAGCAATGGAGAAAGATGGCGCACCGAAGCAGAAAGATGACGATGGAGATAGATTAGGAAAGATAGCGCAACGATGGACATAGATGACGAAGGAGATATATTAGGAAAGATAGCGCACCGAAGGAGATGGATGACGAAGGAGATAGATTAGGAAAGACACCGCAGCGATGGGGATAGGTGACGAAAGGTCGGTAGAGATCGCGCATCGGTGGAGAGAGATGGAGAGAGGACGCGCAACAATGGTTAGCGATGGCTCAACGATGGAGAGAGAAGGCACGACGATGACCAAGATTTGTTATTGCACAACATCAGTTCCATCGAGTTAAGCCTTCGTTAAGCATACCTGTCACCTGTTTCGTGCGATTCCACAGTGATGGACGGCTGCACCGACGATGGCCTGAAACAACAATACAATGGCGATGGAGGGATCACGCACGAGTAATGGAGAGCCTCTTGGGCAAGGATGGAGGTTGCCCGGTTGAGAGAGATCGCACAGTGATGGAGTGAGAAATCGCGCAGCGCTGCGGTGGGATAACACTGGTCAGGGCTTCGATAGCGATGGCCAGCGTTGCGGTGGAGAGAGATGGCGCGGCAATGGAACGCGTTACAATGCAGCGATAGCGATAGCGATGGCAGCGATGGAACAACGATAGCGATTGCGCAGCGATGGCGCAGCGATGGCCAGCGCTGCGATGAGAGCGATGGCGATTGTCAACGCTGAGATGGTCAGGCGAGCGCGACAGCTGCGATGGGGGATATAGCTTTGCGTCGCGATGGCGATGAGCTAAGTGGATTGATGGCGATGGTGCATGGCGAGCATTGGCGATGGCGATGACCTAAGCGCATCGATAACGATGGTGCATGGCTAAGCACATTGATATCGAACGCCATTGACATTTGCAAAATGTCCGAATGACAGCGACACCGGAACTTATAGATTTCCCGTGCTTTTGACCTCGGCGCACAACGAATCGCCGCGCCTCGGCGGGAAATAAACCGTCACCTGGCCTTGGTGCGCAACGAACCACCTCGGCGCACAACGAATCGCCGCACCTTATAGATTCTTGCGCCTGACCTCGTGCGTCAGATCATGCCGATCGATGGTCCAGATTACAACTGCAAAAATGACATTGCCTGCCCTTTGTTTTCAGGAACTGGCACATCATTGCACGTCGGAGTAGACGGAGATTTTGCAGCCACTGGCATAACAGTGGCTCCATTCATCTGCGCGGTTGAAAATTGTTGATCGACGGCTCACAATCTCCGGTGCCCCTTACCGTTTATAGGCCCTCGCATTTTATGGGCCCAGGGGTGCGATACGCGAATCGATTCAGCCCCACCTTGATGGCGTTTTATGGGCCCAGGGGTGCGATATGCGAATCGATTCGGCCCCACCTTGATCCCGACGCGAGGCCTGCTGCAACAAAGTATAAAAGGCGTTGCAGCCCTCGAGTTATCCCTTTTGTTGGCGCTCCACAGATCAAGTCGCGCTATCGCTTCCGCGCGCGTTTTGGTATTTGGTCTTCAGGCCCCACCACCTTCTGCCATAGCCCGCTCACGCTTCGCTCTTCGCTCTGTCCGCAGTTGCCACATTATGTTTGGTTCGCTCTTCGCTCCTCGGTCTTCGCTCTTCCTAGCTCGATATCCCTCCACCATAGCTGGTTTGGTGGTTGGTTCCTCGCTCAACGCACGACGAAGGTAAAATCATATAACTTGAGTTGTCCTATTCTGTGTCTAACGTCCGAACACATTCCCAGATGCCCTGTCTGTACCTGCAGGATATAACGTCGCAGCCGCATTCTGTTGAACCCCGAATCAATTCCTGGTTTTGTTGTTTCGCCAGTGGTTGTGCTCTGATCTCTTTTCTCCACCCTCCACCTCCGTCCGCCATATCCGATCCGCGTTCCGCAGCTCGATTACCTTTCGCCATAGCCAAAATAACGTTCGTATAAAGCTGCTCGATCCCCTTCGCAACTTGCAGTCGTCGCTGCGCATGGCGAACCTCGAATCAATACCTAGTTTCAACACTGAACACCGAATCAATTCCCGATTTTCGCTCACCTGTCCCTTGTGAGGTCGCCGACCTGATATCTACATATATATATATATATATATAAAGATATAAATACATATATGTATATATAGAGATATATTGCTACACTGAACACCGAATCAATTTTCGATTTTCCCTCACCTGTCCCTTGTGAGGTCGCCGACCTGATATATATATATATATGTATAGATACATATATATAGAGAGATATATTGCGAGTCAGTTCGCAATTTGCAACGAACAGTGTTCGAGGAGTGACAAGTGCAAGGTTATTCGCAGTTTTCCCAAGATTAGACATATATTTCATTAAAGGCAGTTCTTTATTTCCACAAATGCGAGTTAGTTCGTACTTTTTGAGCAACACTGCTGGAGAGTTGACAACCCAACCCGTGCGGCTTTCAGGTCATCAGTTCCACAATTCCGAGTTAGTTCGTACTTTCCCCTAGTGCTGTGCATCGCCATTATTGTCTTGTCTATAGAACTACGAGTTAGTTCGCACTTTTCGATAAACCAGAACTTCAGTTCCACAATTTGGAGTTAGTTCGTACTTTGTCGTTGTACTTCGGGTTGCAATTGGCGTCTGTCAGCAGAACCGCGAGTTAGTTCTCACTTGTCGATTCGCACTTGTCGATAAACCACATCTTACTCGTTTCGTGCGTCTTTCAAGTCTTCAGTTCCACAATTCCGAGTTAGTTCGCACTTTCCCCTAGTGCAGCGGGTTGCCATTGTTGTCTTGTCTACAGAACTGCGAGTTAGTTCGCACTTGTCGACACCCTTCGCACTTGTCGATAAACCACATCTTACTCGTCTCGAGGGCATCCAGTTGGGTCGCAATCTTTCCGAACAGTTATCGTCTTCCCTCCGAACTTCTGTCTTTCCTATCCTTCACCCGATTGTTGTGACTTCGTGTGCATTTCGAACACCCATCTCTTACGTCCTTTTCGTCCTTCATTTCGTTAAGTCCGAGTTAGTTCGCACTTCGCTTCTGTAGTGGTCTGGGGTTGGGCGTATTGGTCATCCGAGTTGGTCTGAGGTTGGGCGTGCTAGTCAACGGGTGGGAATATAATGGCGTCTGCAAAGAACACATCCACAAGCGCTGGACCATCTGCCCCCGGGGAGGGACGACCTGTACAGCAACCTACTCCTCCGTATATGCACACAAAGGGAGCACAATGGTTTTTGGACTTCGTTGTTCAGGGGGACCTTTTTGGGCCAGCTGTTTTCATGCGACCCACTTGCGTTACAGACGCTGGGGGAGCGGTCAACGTTGTTCCTCTCGGTACCGTCATGTTGTGCGCGAAGACTCCTGGAGGTTTGCTCAAGCTGCACAGTAACGGCTTGTACGACGAGTGCAAACTGCCTATCAGAGGTGTTAATGGTGTGATAGTGACCATCAAGCGTTTCGCGGGGTACGGCTCGAACATGCCGTTGTGCTCTCACTTCAAAGACCTTTACGATGGCGGCAGCAAGCGTCTTCCATCGCCAGAGCAATATCTCGATCTCGCGCTGATGGTGCCGAAAGAACGTCCGGTTCTTCCGCCAGAGCATGTTTTCTGGCTTCTGCCACCCCGTGAGGGGTCGTCCGGCTTGGCTCAAGAAACTCCAGGTACGGCAGTGGGGCGCAAGAGTCTGATTCAAAACGTTGGGGGTCGGGTCAAGGGACGCAGCGTTCACACGCAGGTCGTCCCGGATGCTCTTGGGAACACGTCAGACTTGCATTCTCATGGGACAGGGACTCAACGGGTCGGTACTCCGAAAATTATCAAGGTCCGCTGCGGCGGCGACACGTATTCGCTTCGAGATGAGACGACAAGAGATTCAAGCAGATCGGGGCTAGATGTCGGAGGGAATGAGGCTGAAGGGATGGGCGCTGTCCGCGAAAGCTCTGGCGGGGTGCAGACTCCTTCGGAGTCCTTCGGAGAAGAAGAGCGAGCGACAGAGGATTGTGCGAGAGGAGGTGGCGGAAGAAACCCTCCGCATGAAGAGGAGGAGAGGAAAATCGGAGGCGGTGATGGGCGGGGATGGAGGTGACGACGGAGAACGTGCCTCGAGAAAGAGGCCGACGAAGGAAGACGGTGGGATGGCAAGTAAGAAAGCGAGGAGGCCCGACGGTTTGACCATCTGCGAAGGACAAGCCGTGGGTGGAGGAGATTCGACTGATCCAGGCGTTGCGGCGGCGAGAGAACCTTAGGGAAAATCGAAATGGAAAGTGGCAGCTGAAGAAGGCGATGGCCAAAAGAAACCTTGAAGGCGGAAGACTGCTGAGGCGACGAGTGGGGGCGAACGGCCTGTCGGTGAGGAGTGCGACAAAGCGGCAGCGTTATGGCACGAATACGAGCGGAACGATGGCGGTGAGATCGTGGAGAAAGAGCTCCTCGTCCAACTGCTCATCGACCCCAGGAAGGTTTGCAACATCCTGTCTTGGGGAAAATATTACAACCACCGCAGTCTAAATTGGGAAACCGTGGACGACATCAAGGCTGCGATGCTGAGTCAATACCTCGAGAAAAGGGGGAAGATCTGGACGAAAAACCCTTTGGTTCTAGCACCCATCTATAAGCCGGTAATGCGTGGGTCGGAGATAGCTAACAGGGTTCAGAAATATGACTTCAAGACGGAGGACAAGGACAAGTACTACTATTACCCTGTTAACGGACAACACACCGTGGCTGCTGTGAAGGAGTTGGAGTGTGAGCCAATATTCGATTTGTGGAAGATGCACTCCTGGCCGGCGAGAGTAGTGTGGTTCTCCGACCGAGATTTCGCGGGGTGTAGGCAGGTCAGTCTCAACGAGAACACGAGACACAAGATGTCTAAGCAGCGATCGCAGAAGGCCGCGTTCTTGGACATGCGGGAGGCATGGGAGAAAGAAGGAAGACCGATGGCCATTCAAGGGAACCCTAGCGGGAAGGAGGCCAAAAAACGAAAGTTTTTTGAAAGAAGTTGCTTTTGGGAAAGAGTCCGAACGAAGCTCACTGGACGTTGGCAAAAAAAGATTTGTCGAACGCCGACAAGGACTATGTCGCTGTCGTTGGCAATGCATTGAGGCAGTGGACGCCGGTCGTGACGGCCGGTGATGACGTTTTTCGCAAAGTCATGGAGTTCTACGCGAAATGGGCGGAGGGGAAGTTGTTGGGCAGCGACGGTAAAACGCCATTGTCGAGGCCGGGTAAATACATGCCTGACAAATCTTCGGGTCTGCAAGCAATTCCTGAAAATGGCACGAAAGGGGCGGCTGGTGAAACGAAGATGGGGTGGCTGGTCCGGGTCCCGCCGCCTCCGACCAAAAAGAAAACGCAAGCGGACGACAAGTTTTTCATGGTCGTGAAGGAGCCAGACATGTTCTGTTGGCAGTCTCTCGCCAACATGACCGATGTCGAGAAAATGTCGATCCTCGACGACATTCTCGCACTAAGAGGAGTGTTCGTGCAATCCGCGGGCGGCCATCTGAAGCGTCAGCATAAACCTGAAATTAAAGAAATGGTCGCGACGACGAAAGTGGACCGTGTGATGCTCCGTATGTTCTACTACATCTTGTTCCTTGAAACGGAGGAGAACGAACGTGTTTGGCGCCACGGGAGCCCATTTTTTCGGACCGAGGGGAAGCTTCTGGAGGAGTTCGGGCCGCAGGGCCTCAGGAAACATGTGCGGGTCGAAATGCGAAAGCATTTCCAGGGCGCGGTGGAGTACGTGAACCCTTGCAAACGTACTCTTTCACACGAGAAGGAGTCCATTGACGACGCGAAGAGATTGTACGATGATGACAGGTTCCCTAAATCTTTCGAAAAATCTGTCCGTTCCATCTTGCGACGGACGGACGAAGAAGTTCGAGACACGATCAGGGTCAGCGGGGATGTGAGGCACATCAAATGGCCCGACCTCAACCGGGTGACCAGCCTTATTCCTTTCGCTTTTTCGCCTTCCTAAGCTCACAGTCATGTCACTGCGATCCGTGAGGTTGTGCGACATTACGTGTGCAACCTGTACGTCCTCGATTTGTGTGATCCCACACTCCTCACAGACTGGCGAGAAGACGATTTCGCCAACTTGCAAGGCCTTCTACAAACACTTTCGCCAACGCACTGGGCACTTGTGATTTTTTTCCCCTCTCGTTGGGAGCTCAGTTTCTTGAAAGGCATGGCCAGGCTTAGCGTCCATCACGTCAGGACAGGGAAGTGGGTACGTAATGCACAAAAGCAGGCCACTGTCCGGGAAGGCAATATGCTAGTTGAGGAGTGTGACCGCATGTACGTGATATTTAATGGCGAGAAGCTGGAAGACAACACATACGCAGTCTACCCGGCCAGTAGCCCGACAAAAGGTCCAAGTCTGACCAAACACACGGTGGCGGCCCGCTCGAAACCTGTGTGTTCGTCGGACCCATCAGGACAGGCTGTGGCGTGTTTCGACGTGGCCGAAGAGGAAAGGTTCTCTCGTAGCATGTGGGAGGACGGCGGCGTGACAAGTTTTCAAGGACCTGCTTACGGGGAGATGGAGCAGAACCCATCCCGTCTACTTGGTCTACTCGAAAACTTTGCGAAGTTGGGCAAACTATTTTTTTCTTTGGGAAGGCGCATGCGTGTGTCGTGTGGGGACTCCACCGCACCGGTCGGAACGTCGTCGCGTTGGAGAAGGAGGCGAGGATGATCGACTACCTTCACGAATTCGTGAAGACACGCGTTGCAGACACTCGCAATGCTTGCGAGTTTTCCCGCACCACCGGCGAACGAAACTGGGATCCCAAACGTGACATGTATTAGAAATTGTCGGGGAACAAAAGGACGGACGTTTAGGACTTCCTTTTCGGACCTGGACCGCCTGGTCCGACCGACCTCGAATACAGTCGACGGAGAAACCTGGTGTTCCATGTGCTCAATGGGTACCACGGTGCACCCAGGGAGTCTGACTCGCACTTCTTGAGAAGGCTGGAGCACGTTTACATCACGCTGGCCGAACTGCTCACTCTGGAAAACTACAAGTCACAGTTTGACGAGGAGGACCCTTTCGACGCTGAAGACATGGAGGAGCTGAGCGACTCCGAAACCTTCGATTTCGAGTCCATACCACTTCCTCGGGTGGTTGGACAGGTTGGTGATGAAGAGGAAGATGGCCCTCAGAGATATAACACGTCCCCTGCCGGTTTGAAGCGTGTGTTTCGGGGCGAACCAGTCGACGACCAATCGTCGGATGACGGGGAGGAAAAGAGAGACTATGATCAAGAACCTTGTGACAGTCTCCCTGTGGACCATGACACCTGGCAAAATGACAGGCTCTACTTTTTCGGCAAGCATCACCGGTTCACGGTGGAGGATGTCTGGGGACACAACGTCGTCTGGCACCCAAGGATATTCCAACCTGCTGTGAGGAATGGAATATGGGTCATAACAATAAAGGAGGCCGATGGCAAGTGGAGTGGACTGAAGAGACAGGAAGCGGGTGCATTTAAGAGAAAGGCAAGAACTGCTATGGTGGAGCATTTGAGTCTCATAAACCCCAAGAGGAACGATCCGGGCGTCCATGCGTATGCACAACAAAAGCTACATGAGTTGCGGTGGACATACTCCAAGGCGCTAAATGATACCACTGTTGTCAAAATACACGTATTTTTTTTTTCGAAATGCCATAAGCAGAAGTGCGAATCTATTCCCACTTGATCTAGCAGTCAGTCGGTTCGAGCTGTGCTGTTGTTGTCATGAGGTGCCGGATTGCAGTGGACGTTTTGGTCAAGTACAGGCTTAGGTGTCGATGTGAATATCTCAGCCTCGTGCTATCAATTTTTTAAGGGTTCTTCATTTCGTGGAACCTGTCAACTTTACTCGCAGGACTTTCGGCAACGCCGTGCTTCCTTTGTTTGTTTTCGGGTTGTTCTCATTGCTTGCCGCGCAACATCAGCTAGAGGGTAGCAGCGGACGCTTACGTGAAGTAGAAGCTCAGATGTCGATGTAAATATCCCACCCACGTGGTGCAGTTCCTTTCAAGTAGACGCTTACATATCGGATGTGAATATCACAAAGTGTGAATATCCCAACTTTGTGCTCCTTTTATTTATTTTTGGGTTGTTCTCCTTATGTCCTCTCAGACCGAGGCAGCACCGTGCTGCGTTTGTTCGTTTCGAGGTTGTGCTCCTCTTTTACTCATGTGAAAGATATCGACGATTTATTCTTGGTCGCCAAATTGTTTCATGCTTATCTTTTTCGTTCGCGAGACTTTGTGGTGTGAAATCCCCTCTCCCCCGCCCCACCCCGACCAACCAGCTTTTATATGTTTTGATTCGCCCTTGTTCTGCATGTGCCGCCCCGTTTTACGGTTCACCCCCTTTGCTTGTCTCGATTGAATGCTGTTTGTTGGTTCCTTATGACAGTTGCGAACTTGTTCTCCATTCGGAAACCAATTGTCGCCAGAATATAAGTGTGCTTGAAGTTGTTTTTAGGATTCAGCGGTGCATTGAATGATCACCAATTTTGTTATCCCCGGAATACATTTCGTGCTCTCCATGGAATGCTGGTTGTTGTTTCCGTATGAGAAATGCGAACATATTCGCACTTCGGATGCCGTACATTTGTGATTGAACTGTTGGTTCCATATGAGAAATGAGAACATATTCGCGCTTTGGCTCCATGTACTTTGTGATATTTGGAAAGCCTCCGTGCACTTTGCAATGTGGGATTGTACGATATTTTGCGTTCAATGACTTTTTGAAACGTCTCTATGTGCTTTGCAATTTGCCTTCGAATGAATTTTCTGCATGGAATGGTTTCTGGTACCTGTTCGTGTGCTGTGAGACTTCACCTTTGGAAAAACACTAGGCAACTTTAGATGTTTTCACCTCGATGTTTGTGATGTCTCTGTGTGCTTTGCAATTTGACTTGTGCTTGGAGTTGTTTAACGGATTCAGCGGTGCACTAAATGATTGCCAATTTTGTTATCCCCAAAGTACATCTCGTGCTCTCCACTGGATGCTGACTGTTGTTTCCGTATGAGAAATGCGAACATATTCGCACTTTGGATGCCGTGCATTTGTGATTGAATTGTTGGTTCCATATGGGAAATGAGAACATATTCGCACTTTGGCTCCATGTACTTTGTGATTTTCGAAAAGTCTCCGTGCACTTTGCAATGTTGGACTGTATGATATTTTGCGTTCAATTTGGAAAGCCTCTATACTTTGCAATTTGCCCTTGAATGAATTTTCTGCATAGAATAGTTTCTGGAAACTGATCGTCTGCTCTGAGACTTCACCTTTGGAAAACCAGTGCGCAACTTGAGATGTTTTCACCTCGATGTTTGCGATGTCTCTGTGTGCTTTGCAATTTAACTTGAGATGTTTTCATCTCGATGTTTGCGATGACAAGAGATACTTGTATGGATGGATATGAATCTTCTACACAGAAAGATTTGATTGCGTTTTCAACCTGTGGTATAGAAATGACAAGCCAATGTCCATATTAAATCGTCACGCTGATGGACTGCGCAACCACTTCTCCATGAAAGTGTGAGTTCAATCGCACTTCTGGTGTGAGCCCTGAGCAATTCCCTCGCACTTTGCTTCATGTTGAGGAGGGGATCGAACGCACCGTCGGTAAGCACCTGCACATAACGAAACAAGAGCACATCCCAATTGGAACATCGTCGGGTCCTCACCTCATCGACTCTCAAGATGACTACAGCCAACAGCGGTAGGATGGCAGGTCCGCCTATCCGATGTGGATCTCACGGTGGAGTGCGGAACCATGCTCTCAAAGATCTACACCGGGTAGAAGGTCCCGCAAGCAGCCGCTGCTTGCTTGTAAGGCATCTTATGATGTGTCGATATAACTGACATCCAGATCTGCTTGGTGAGCATCTAGTGCTACGCTAATAAGTTTCAAACACGACAGCAAAGTCCCCTAAGAGTGTTCTTTGTCGGGTCCTCACCACATCGACTCTGAAGATGACTACAGCGAACAGCGGTAGGATGGCAGGTCCACCTACCCGATGTGGATCTCACGGTGGAGTGCGAAACTCTGCTCTCAAAGATCCGCTTCGGGTAGAAGGTCCTGCAAGCAGTCGGTGCTTGCTTGTAAGGCATCTTATGATGTGTCGATATGACAGACATCCAGAACTGCTTAGTGACCATCTAGTGCTACACCAATATGTTCCAAACACGGCACCAAAGTCCCTTGACAATGTTCTTTGTTGGGTCCTCACCTCGTGGACTCCCTCAAGATGACTACAGCTGACAGCGGTAGGATGGCAGGTCCACCTATCCGATGTGCATCTCACGGTGGAGTGTGAAACTCTGCTCTCAAAGATCCACACCGGGTAGAAGGTCCTGCAAGTAGCCACTGCTTGCTTATTAGGCATCTTATGATTTGTCGATATAACCAACATCCAGAACTGCTTGGTGAGCATCTAGTGCTACGGCAATAAGTTCCAAAAACACGGCAGCAAAGTCCACTGAGAGTTTTCTTTGCCGGGTCCTCACCTCATCGACTACCTCAAGATGAATACAGCTAACAGCGGTTGGATGACAGGTCCACCTATCCGACGTGGATCTCACGGTGGAGTGCGTAACTCTGCTCTCAAAGATCCATACCGGGTAGAAGGTYTTGCAAGCAGCCGCTGCTTGCTTGTAAGACATGTTATGATSTGTCTATATAACCGACATCCAGAACTGCTTGGTGAGCATCTAGTGCTACGCCAATATGTTCTGAACACGACAGCAAGGTCCCCTAAGAATGCTTTTGGCACTGGAGTCCTCTGACCGCCGACTGTTTGGCACTTCGTGAAGGTTGACACTTCTTGAAGGTGGTCTACCACTTCTTAAAGGTGGTTAGTCACCAAACAGATCACGACCTGACATCAACCTCAATAACTGTGAATTGACTCGCTGTTCAACTAGAGTCTCTTTCTCTCTCTCTCTCTCTCTCTCTCTCTCTCTCTCTCTCTCTCTCTCTCTCTCGCCCCCCCCTCTGTTTCTGCATCCGCTCGCCACCGTCCCTAAGAA